CCAACAGGGATGGGAGACACTGCAGAGGGCCTGCCGGGGGGGGAGAAAAAAAAAAAAAAAAGAACTGCTGGGAGAGGGAGAAGTCGTCTTCAGCTATAAGCATCCTGAAGTGGTCAGCCCTAAAAACATACATAGAAGCAAAACTAGATGGACTCAGCAGGCTACATTTGTATATTTATTTGTATATACATACAGCAATTAAAAAAAAGAGAGGCTATGAATTTGAAAAGGGGGGTTGAGAGGGGTTAAGGAAGGAGGAGGGAAATGATGGAATTAATATTTAAATTAAATTTAAAAAGTTGAATATATATTACATTATGCTACTGGGAAATTCATATAACAAAGCAGGTAAGAGGTTACTAGGGGTCAGGAGTATAGGAAAAGGGGGAATTAATGTTCAGTGGTTACAGAGATATTGCTAATGAAAGAGACATAGGTAATAACCACTACATATTATAGTTCAATTCATGTCTCCAATCTAGTGTGTGCGTTGTTGTTGTTGTTAAGACTTAATTATATAGTCCAAACTGGCCTTGAACCTGTGATCCTCCTGCCTTGGACTCCTAAGTCTGAGATTGTAGTCATTTACTACCACGCCCGGCCTCCAGTCTCATTTCAACATGAAATTAGGGAAACTATTTGCTTTTCCTTAAAATTATTACTTCCCATGAACAAAGCTCAGCTTTCACATCAGCACAGGACAGAAACTATGAAATTACTATGAATTCTTTTTTTTTTTTATTTAGAGGTTCTACTTACCTCTGCTTTATAATAGCGCTGAGTATATGTTAAATCAATTATCAATCCAAGTTCTTCATTTTGTTCGTGAATTTTATGAAAAAGATCCAAAGGAGAGAAGCATTCTTCTGGCATAAGCTTTGCTTCAAATTTCTGTCAGAGAGGGAGGTAGAGAGAGCAAGGCTGTTTAAAGTCCTTCACCACATTCTGTATTTATTCCAGCCCCAAGAGATGAGCATGGATGAGAAGCAAAGGGCAGTCCGCTCTTCTGGAAGCTCATAACAGCCTCACTTCCAGTGGTGGGAAAAAAGAGCCTCTTTGAACATACACATATTTCTGTGTCTGTTTGATAACCCCGCCTGAATCACTTTAGAATGTCCTAGTCAACATTAACTAGGTAAGGAAAAAACAAAAGTAGAATAACCAGCTTATCAACACAGTCAATACTCAACTATCCAGTTTAGTCAGATGGACACAAAATACAACGAAGTTATAATTAGTCTTCATATTATAGCCAGGGAATTATACTGTCTTTTCCTTTAACAGAGATATTCTACTGATCTGTGAATCTTATTTCAGGTTAGTAAAGTGACATAAAATAGGAAAATAGAGAGCAACCAGGCTGAGAGCCAGTGCAGCTCTCCATGTTCTCCATGGGGAATTTAGACTTCTGAAAAAATACTGAATTAACTTTTACCTTTTGCAAAGGAACTTTGAAAGCAATGAACCGAGTCCCAGGCATCCGCTGTCCAACTGGGAGATAGTCTTTCCACCTGTGACACACAGTATTTGTTAGACTGAATGTCAGCCTTGCCTCCCAACAGAGCAAGGCTCCAAGATAACCAGGCACCAAGCATACACATAAAATGTCCCTTTCCTCTGCTCTGCCTTTTGTCACTCAACCTATTGATTTTCCACAAGTAACAACCTGCACCTTCTTCTTCTGTTTCCCCAACTTGGAAATAAATAGAAGACAACACAAAACAGGCACTACCTTAAACCAAAATGGCCAGAGCTTTCATACCCCTAATAAACCAGCCTAGCATCAGATACCAAGGCAATATATCAGACATGAAGGCAGAGGGGGGCTGTGTCAGAGGATGGGGGTTGAAGGGGGGGGGGCAACAAGAGGCAGAAAGGGGAAGAGCAAATAGTGTGTACTTTCCCTCCTATGGGGAATCTAGTTTTAAATACATAATGTATGTGTATACATACATACATACATACGAGACATGAAAAAAAGTGGTGAATTACTTAAGGGAAGAAAGAAACTAGCAAAATGTGGGCGGGAGAAAGGGGAAGGTGTATTCATGGGTGTGAGTATGAGCAAAGTATAATGACATATATGTAGAAAAATGTCATAATGAGACTCATACTTTGCATGGTAACTAGAAATATTAAAAACTGCAAGGAGTAATGAATACCTACACTCTGGCTGAAAGGGCTCAAACTCAATACTTTGACTGCACAGTGTTCTCAGTTTCCACACAAGTGACATCAGTTCTTATAGGAGGAGACAGTCTGAACTTCAGCCACGCCAGGGGTCAGCGTGGAGAGTGAGAGCTGAGGTAATTTATGTCCATGAATTGCAGCTAAGCAGGGTTCATTCAGTAAACATGAAGATCAGAAAGTGAGGACTGAGTGGCAAGAGACCGGGCTGAGACAGAGAGGACCCCAGAACAGAGGAGCCTACTGTGACAGGCCATGACAAGGAGTTGGTGTTTTATTTTTAAAATCAAGCTCTACCTTACATCTATGAGCTGTCTCCCAATTACTATTCGATATTCAGTTTAAATAATTAACTATATTAAAGTATGCTAAGAATGGATTAAAAGGAAATGAAAGTAGATAAATGGACACCTGTCTTCTGAAACAGGTCAAGCAAGTTCTTCACCGGGGTGATGATGGAGGAAAGCTGACAGACTTTAAAAATATTCAGGAGAGCCGGGCGGTGGTGGCACACGCTTTTAATCTCAGCACTCGGGAGGCAGAGGCCAGCCTGGGCTACAGAGTGAGTTCCAGGACAGGCTCCAAAGCTACACAGAGAAGCCCTGTCTCAAAAAACCAAAAGAAAAAAAAAAAAATCAGGAGAAAGAAGGAAGCGCTTACTCAAATCTAGGAAGGTAGAGAGGACATTATGTACATTCTAGATTTTAGGTATTGCTCTTTGTGGAGATGAAGAGCTTATTGAAGTCTGGGAATGGGGAGAGGACGGACTGTCCATCCTGGGTTTTAGGTATTGTTTATTTGTGGAGATGAAACATTTGTTGAATTCTAGGAAGAGGAGAGGCTAGTCTAGCCACGCCTGTCTTCAGCTATTCCTTATTTGTGGAAAGAAAACAACCGGCCGGGCGGTGGTGGCAGCACGCCTTTAATCCCAGCACTCGGGAGGCAGAGCCAAGTGGATCTCTGTAAATTCGAGGCCAGCCTGGTCTACAGGGCGAGATCCAGGACAGGCGCAAAGCTACACAGAGAAACCCTGTCTCGAAAAACAAAAAAACAAACAAAAGAAAAAAGAAAGAGGAAAACAACCGACTTTTGAAATCTGGGAAGGGGGCAGGCAGTCGCAAGAAGTAAAGCGTTCACAGCATCTGTGAACAAAATCGTAAATCTAACCACCGGCACAGGCAGGGAAAACTCCCTCCAATGACACCTCCGCCTCCAGAGTCCTGGAAGTGACAGAGCCTCTCCAGCTGGTACCGAGGGCAGGGTGGCTTCAGCTCAGACCGGCTCCCTCACACTGCGCCTCAACAGTCTGAAGACTGCGGCTCCCAGGCTCAAGGGACGACCCAACCCCGGCAGCCGCGCCCCAAAGCGCACTTCCGCGCTGGCCGGAGCCCCACCGGGGTGAGCACTGCCGGGGCAGACCTGAGACCCTCGAACGCGGGGATTGGGGAGGTTCGACGCGGAGGACTCTGGGAGGCGGAAGGGAGCCAGGCCGCGGAGAACACCAAGGCTCTCGGCGGCCAAGGCAGCCGGAACGACCCAGCCCGAAACGAAAGCGCCTTACCTCTCCGGGACGTGGTTTTTGACCTTCTTCTTGGGTGGGGCACGGCCGGCGAAGTCCCGGCCCCGACCACGACCATTGCGGCCGTAATGCCGCTGGCTCATGTGGGCGCAGACCTGCCGCCCACCCAACGCCAGGCGGGCCAGAGCGGCCAGAGCGGCGACCTCAGGGCCGCCAGGAGACGCCGCGGGACCCACAGCACCCGCGTAAGAGAGCGCTGTGCCCGATGCCTCGCTAGATGGCGTGCGACGTGGCCCGCCGTGATGACGTCAGACGACGCGCGGAGGGTGGGTTTTCGCCAGCCAGCCCTGGGTTCCAACAGCGCCGTCTGTAGCCGGAGGCCGGTATCGCACGTACGCGCATTGTTACCCGCACCGGCAGAACGGCCCCGGCCAGGGGTCGGAGACTCCAGCACGCCCGCCCTCACCCCTGCGTTCTTGGCGACTTCGCGACGCTGGCAGTCGTTTACATTTTGTATATTGTTTATGGTATTCTTGACTTTCTCGCACAGGTGTGTCCTTTTTCCGTCGAAAAGAAACACACCAACGGTTTTACACAACGTATTTCTCCTTATTTAAATATATATTTATGTTCTTTCCAGTTTTAAACGGCACAGGGCATTTAATGGCTTCTAATCGACATGATCAAAAGTACCAAAACTGAAATACCTCCACCTGTTTGGAGTTTTGTTTGTTTTAAGACGAGGTCTCACTGTGTATCGCTCGCTGATCTTGAACTTGCTTTGTAGAGTAATCTCGCCTTGAAATCACAGAGGTAGACCTGCTCCTACCTCTTTAGTTCCAGAATTAAGAGTATGGGCCATCTTAGCCTGATTGGAGTTTTTGTTTGTTTGCGTTGTGTTTTTGATCTTCTGTTACAGAAAATGCTGTGGTGTGAACATCCCTATAGGTGTATACTATATCTAAATTCCTAGACAAGGAATTACTGGGATGAAGGCAGCACATGGGGACACTTTAAAAAACAACCACAACAAAACACCAATACTTTCCAATTGCCAAAAATGGTCTCAGCCCATTTTCCATCCACAGCCAGTTTTACTGGTATCACATGCCAGGTGTCACAATAGCTGTGGACACCATGACTTTATATTTTAGCAAACACCAAAAATAATCCAGAGATAAAAGAGGAGCTCAAACAGGCGGATCTCTATGAATTTAAGGCCAGCCTGGGTTACCAAGTGAGTTCCAGGAAAGGCGCAAAGCTATACAGAGAAACCCTGTCTCGAAAAACCAAAAAAAAAAACCCCTCCTCAAAAAAAAAAAAAAAAAAAAAAAAAAAAAAAAAAGAGAGAGAGAGAGAGAGTTCAAGTCCAAAATTCCCACACAATGCCAGGCATAAAGACCTGTGTCTGCTGGGAAATATCTGAATTCTACAAGTGGAAGACCAGGTACAGGACATCTGCAGTCAGGGCAGAGAACTAAGTCCCAGGTTAGACTGTAGAAATTTATGATAGCGAATTTGAAAATAAGTTTTAGCTTTTGGTTTGAAATTTCTGAAAGTAGCTTGTATTCACTATTAATAATATTCATAATAATTGTAGATCTGAGTAAGCTGACAAAAAGTCAGAGTTATTGAAAGAATGAGTAAATAAATGGGCAAAAGAACATTAGCTATGACATTTTTGGGAAAGTCATATTCTAAGCATTTTTTTTTTTTTTTTAGTGGTGGGACTTTGTGCCTACTTCTTTTTTTTTAATATATATTTTATTTTACAATACCATTCAGTTCTACATATCAGCCACACGGGTTCCCCTATTCTCCCCCCTCCCAACCCCTCCCCTTACCCCCAGCCTACCCCTCTTTCCCACCTCCTCCAGGACATGTCCTCCCCCAAGGATTGCGATCAACCTGGTAGACTCAGTCCAGGCAGGTCCAGTCCCTTCCTCCCAGAC